GAAAAAAAAAAAAAAAAAAAAAAAAAAAAAAAGGATTTATGTTTGTAGTGGAACGATAGATTGTTTTATGTAAAAAATATATTAAAATCTTATTTATGTAATTTTACTTAAGGCTATTTAAGTAAATAAGAAAAATACTTAAAAATTGTAGCCCACTTAACAAAATTCGTAGTGCTAATACCCAAAGTCAAAACATAAAAATACTCAAAAGAAGAAAAGGTCGTCATACCTAATAATAATGATAAAATAAACAGAAGGCAATAAAAAACCTGACGCAATCCACGTGCAGATTGAGTGAGAGATGGGCTCGATATGGTCCGTTTCCCTTTTACTCCCAATGGATTAGCCTCTGCCATGCCTTACACTCCATCACTTAGTATGAATTATCAATTTTTGTTGTTATTAAATCCAAATAAATGATTGAGTATTTATAACACAACATTTTAATGTAATTAGAGAGCATGGATAATCTACTCAATATAATTATTAACTTTTCATCACAAACCTATCTCTGAAAGAGGTATAAATGTGAAGCTACATATATTAAAGGTTACGGACAGAAAAATAATAGATATTTTTACTAGCCTTGATGTTCATTTTGTCTTTCTTTTCTTTACTTTCTTCTTTTAGAGTAATCTTTCAGGTTTATCTTGTTTCCTTGAGGGAAAACTGAATGCTTATCATTTGATTGACTCTGACTACCATTATTTTACATAATTGTAGAAAGGCACATATTGTTTTTCTCTTTCAGAACTTTGGGCTCCCACTCCACAACTTTTAGTTTAGGTAAGCAAACATAAGAATAGATGGTCTTGAGTGCTATTAATCTGGAACACATTATGAAAAAGCATGTATAGATAGGATCTGCATCGGTGACTAGGAAAATATTTATTTTGGTAGGCATGTCTGATAAAAGATTTTCAATTGACCCAAATCCTAATTTTTTAGCATTCCATTGAAATCCTGTGAATTTCTTTTGTAAATCTTGTATTAACTTCTAGGTCCTATTTCAAATTATCGTGTTATTTTATTAACAGGAATCGAGGCCCATGCAAGTTGTAGTTCCTGTAAGCTCAAGTGCTCATCATGTGGAGCTCAATGTTTACTTAGAGCCTAAATCTGCGTATGCACTAACAGCTTTAGTCAAGCAAATAAGCAGTGAATATGCAGTCACCCCTGAAATAAGCACAGTTGCCATGAAGGCAGACTATAAAGGTCCGTCCACTTGCCCAATCATAACTCATTGTGAGACTTCCTATACTCATTTTCCTTAAAGCTAATGCGATATTCAATCTTTCCATTACAGTATTGGTTCTCTACGATGTTGACAAAGCTGCAGAGAATATACAGCACCTTATAAAATGGATCATGGACTGTTATTCTGATGCTTGTAAACTTATACTTTGCTGTGAAGATGATGTAGATATCCTTGAATCGGTAAAAAGCCGCTGCAAAGTTATCGAGGTTGAAGCTCCTATAACTCATCAAGTAAGTATTCCCAAATAATTCTTCATAATCTTTTGCACGTCAAAAAGAACAGAAAGAACAAAATACACCGCTCATCAGGTTTCTATATTTAGGATATCCTCATTCAAATCTGCAGTATATTTTCAGGTTGATATTAAATTTTAACCAATGTATTTTTAGGTATATCAAAAAACAAATTGAATAGATGCATGTATTTTTTTACAGCTACCTGTTATGAGTCCATATTCCAGAGAAAATGGATTTTCTTCTATGTCCATCCTTGTGTGGTTTGTATAAGGTCAGCATTTACCTGAAAAACCCTGATGCTCATTGTTGAACCAACTCATAAAAGCTTTGCTGGTAGAGAGCGGACATTTATTTATTTGAATATAACTTTCAATACATCCCCTCACATGCAGACTGAATTATTTTTTTCATTATAGGCTTGATGCCTGCACAACTTTTACAAGTAGTGGCAGCAAGAATTGAATGCAAGACCTTTCACTGCTCTAAAACTATCTTGAACCAACTCATTTAAAAGCTTACGATATTAGAGAAGGGGACACATTTGTTTATTTGAATATGGTGTTGAAAACTAACTTTCACCACTTTTGGTTTTGTGTGTAGTCAGAAAGGTCCTGCAATTAAATTTAGTTCTTTTATGAGTCCTTTGGTGGTGATGTAGCAATTTTTCGTATCTCTGGGCATGCTTATATGCAAGAATTGATAGGACTATGTTAGCAGTAATTCTACAGAAAAATTTTGATTAGCAGAAACGAACGTGCAACCTTTTAATCACATATGAATTCATTTGTTCGATGCCTACTATGATACTCGTACTACCAATATTATCAATAGACAAGTTAGAAGCTTGCAGTGTTGTTAATACAACACTGAATAGCGTATAAATGGTATGTCTGTTACTACGTAATCACGCTGAGAAAACACAATATTATGTGTTTCATGTACATTGTTATTGGTTTATAAAAGAATGCTAATGCACCAAGCAAAGCTCAGGAAGATTCTAGTTCGTCAAAAGTTTACGAGGAGTATTATGTATAATGAATTGATGCTTAATAGACTAACGAGTTTCGTGAGGATCAAACAGTAATTTACTTTAACTTGCGTCCGAAAATGGCAAAGACTTATTATTTGGGGAAAACGTTGTTATGGCATCCAATAGAAAGGGCACACACAGACACACCCACACACACATGCGCACACACACACACACACACACACACATATATACGGAAATGATCTCCTAAACACTGGTGCTCAGCTTATGTTAAGCACCAGAGACATGGCGTGTCATTTAATTGGTGAATAAGTTAAGCACCGGTGACTTGGTACATTATTTAATTGGTAAATCATTAAATATATATATATATATATAAAACTTCAACCCCAGCTATGACCAGGCAGGTTAGTAATGGTTTTGTCCAAGGACCGACATCTGTTATCTTTTTCACTAAATCTTTATTGCGAGCATAAATCAAAATGATTTCTAGTGCTAGCCTTGATGTCTTCTCTGATTGTTTATTCATTATTAGATTATGGAAGTTCTTATTCTGATAGCAAAAAAGGAAGGTTTTGAATTATCCACGAACTTTGCTGCTAAAATTGCGAAAAAATCTAAGCAAAACCTGAGGAGAGCGATAATGGCTCTTGAAGCCTGCAAATCACACAGGTAAGATCATTAATAAGAAATGCATTAAGTTTATTAATTTTTCAATTCATTTTAGCATTGCACATTTCAGTTATCCTTTCTCCGAGGACCAACCAATCCCAATAGGATGGGAAGAGGCTCTAGTTGAACTTGCTGCTGATATTCTAGCTGATCCATTGCCTAACAGGTAAGACCTTTTACTATGTTCATTCAACTTTATGACTGCGTCTGTGACATGTACTAATATGGGGTTAAAAGAATTACTGATCATTACTGAGTTTTTACCAAAATTTCATGTTGATCACTAAACTTTATTTTGTCCCAAGTTGTTTACTGAACTTCTACCTTGTTACAATTGAGTCGCTGAACTGTTAGTAGCAATCTGGTTGTTCCCTCCATGTGTATTAGTATGATTAACGGAAAAACTTTCTTGTATATTTTGTGGGCAGGCGGCAAAAAATAAGTAGACTGCCATATCATCTCAATCAAACTGAAAGACATAGACGGAGTGACCAAATTGTAACATAGTTTAATTTAATGACCAATATAAAATTTTGGTAAAAGTGTTGCTGTATTTTAATTATATTTTTCAATGATAAAAATATAATTGGAGGTTGAATGATTAAATGCTTCAAATTTACAGTTCAATTTTAGAATTACAGTCCTATTTTCTGGACCGAAACCAGTGGAATAATCATGGTGCCTATTATCAAACAATTGTCAACTTTCCGCAGTCGGAGATGTTCTTTGTCTTATTTGCTAGATCTTTAGGAAATTATCTATAATCAGATCGTCCATGAGAACATGTCATAAATTCTGAAGTAGCTATGGAAAATAACTAAATATGATTGCAAATTTATAATCAGATGTACTTTCTGAACATCTTAAAAATTTATAATCAGATATACTTTCTGAACATCTTGCCAGAAGATACAGTATGTGAAATGTGATTGTATCCTCTTGTAGTCAACTTGATTTTACTTGCGATGAACACTGATCTTAACTGCCAATGTTCATGCTCTAACCAGATTATTTGTCATCCGTGGAAAGATCCAAAAACTTCTATCTGAGTTTGTTCACCCGAAACTGATTCTCCTGGTAACGTATCTAATAGATTTTTCAGTACGCTAAACCAGATTAAATGTACAAATTATTCGTAATATAATTATGTTTCTAACATGCAGAAGCTTGTCGAACAATTTCTCCGGGAAGTGGAGGCTAATTCAAAAAGGGAACTTTATTATTGGCATGCTTACTATGTAAGTTTCATCCTTCACTTCAACAATGGTTAGAAGAAAAGGAACTACAATTTACTTATAGAGAGAGGGTGCAAGGGAGAGTGACTGACTCAAATGTCATTTGTAGGATAAGAGACTCCACACTGGAACAAGTGCCTTGTCAAAATTAGAAGGTACTTACAACACACTTTGAAAAGCTAGATTATTTACATTCGAGATAATTGTGCAAACCTATAGTATGTATGCATTGTGCTAATAACCGAACAATTGCAAGTACTTTTCATTGTGTAGGGATTCTTTTAGTGGACACTTAAATGAATTGATGCTCCAACATGTCTTGCTTTTAATTTTATGTCCGAAGTTATCTTATGTCCAACCCGACATAAAACATAGAGGATTTGTTTTTGTTTTTTGTTAAATCTTTTTCATTGCTCCATAATTAACGAGATAAGTGAATGATCTTGCAGGGCTATCACCTTCTTTGGCCAGATATTTTCCATGTTTCAGAATAGACTTAATAAACATTTTAAGTAATGGACTAATTATCAGTTTTTATTGCAAGTATCTATCTCTTACCATAGTATTTGGAAAATTTATTTAAAAATGTTCAACTCTAAGTAATTATGAGGCAGACTTCTAACAGTTAGTTATACAAGGGATTGTAATAATATAATTAAAATTGCAAAGCGAAAGATATCTAAAAGGGAAGTCTTAAAATATTAATCAGTTTTAAATTCAGAACAAAAATGAAAAAAAAGAAAAAGAAAAAGAAAAAGAAAACTAGGCTAGACTAAATCAGCATTTACACCCATCATGTGCCATTCACTAAGTGCATGCTTGGCTAAGCTTAAAACCTTACCTGTAACTAAATATAAAAATTTTAGATGCTGAATTTTTGGTTGGTATTGCCATGAGTCTCTAATAAGAGGCCTGATTTTGTTAATCTTTCATTAGTTTTCTAACTGAAATCGAATGCATGGTGCACCAGAACCACAATAGAAATTCAAGAGAAGGCTTATTGTTAGGACGCATACTGTACACAACATTGAAGAGTACAGTTATACTCACAAAAGTTAATTTCTTTTTCTCCTTTAATCCAATCCAGTTACAGTCTACTTCAGTGCATCAAATATCATCCTATTAGGGAACTAATATTTATTGTAGGGAATTTACTTAGTACTCTAGTTTGCTAATGTTATCTAATGGTGCAGAATTTGTGGCCAAGTTTATGAGCATGTACAGAAAGAACTCCAAGAATCGTTAGTTCTTGCAATCTACATGGAGTGAGAGGAACACTAATCGAGCTTCAAAATTTGGAATGTCTTGTTTGTTTATCGTTATGATAATTTATGCATATTGTTCGACGATTAAGAATCAAACGATTTAGGAGAGAGTGCATAGATAGTCACTGTGTTGTTATTGAGAATTGAACGTTGTATGCTTGAAATGCTGAAAAGGGGGAATGTTTGGAAATTCTTGCAATCAATTTTTTTTTTTTTACCTTAATCTGCTGATGCTCTTACGAAGCTATATAAAGTTGTATCTTAGATTCAGTTCTGCTGATGCTCTTACGAAGCTATATAAAGTTGTATCTTAGATTCAGTGAACCAAGAGTCTTGATTACGTGATGGTTAAATGTAGTGTAAGCTCCAAAGTCTAGTGAATGCATAGAATAGTCAAATTGTCACAACTCGATTTTTATAAAAACGTATTATAATTTAGTATACATCTCATTGCACAAATAAATTCTAAATGAAACACAATTCTTTGCAGCCATGTTCAAATTGTTGAAAATGCACAATGGAAATTAAACAAATTTCAATACTTAATTCATATTGTCTCTGTCTTTAGATAGAATTAGTAATAAGAGGCATACCTTTAACGATTTTCATAAAATGTAAACCTGATCTACTACGATCTCAACAAACTACAGCAGCTATGTAGTCTCTAACAGAATGTTGGAAATATTGAAGTGATGAAGATTAGACCAAAAAAAAAAAAAAAAAAAAAGAAATGAAATCAAAAAATTGCCAAGAACAAATATGAACGCTCGAACGCGGGATCACTATCCTCAAACATTATTTGCCCCTTCTCTGATGTTTTCGAGATGCTTAAAGATATTCCGGCAAACGGTTTGAAGGATTGTAACAAGCCTTGTAAGGAATTTCACCAAAGCACAAGGTGAAATTCTCCAAAACTTGAAGAACACAAAGACATGAATGTAAATAAGGATTTTGATTGTTCTTAGAACAAAGTATGGATTGCAAGATGTTTTTTCTAACATTTTTCCCTCAAACATGGCTCTTCTATATATAGCCATCGACCAAAAATACGAATTGGTGCCAAAAAATCAAGTGAAAAGTCACCAATTTCAAATTTGCAACGTCCAAAAAGGGCGAAAAAATGGTAAAAAAAATTGTATCATGCGACCGCATGGTTTACCCATGCCAAGACCAAAGGTCGCATGGACCATTTTTTTTTAATTGTTGTTGGTTTTGAACAACATAATCACAGCAATCCCCCACTTGTTCAAAATTAACACTTGTTCAAAATTAACAAGTCTCATATTCATAGTAAACGATACTCATGCATAAAGATTATATATCTTTTGATTTGAATCTAATCATAGTGTAATTCAAACAAAGTTTAGTTGGAATCAAAGGTAGCGTGTAGCTTTGAACCAGTTATTCCATATGACAATACCGATAAGAACACACACACGAGTACCACGCGTTCTTAAGTTCCTCATAACTCGTTTAACACTTTTATGACATCACGCTTATCTTTTTCAACAATCTTTTAAGAGAGAAAATCCAACTCTCTATTAAAGCGGCACCACCTTGAAGATTGTTTAGATGAAGTTTTTTAGTACCTTTGTTACTTTTAGAGGTACTTGTATTTTAGCACTGAACTTCATTAAGAGCTTAAAGCTCATCCCTCATTTCAGTAACAACCAGCATTATTTTAATTAGGATAGGATTATTGTGAATTTTAATAATGCTACAACTATCAACATACCGAATGACTTGTTGTTATCATTTGAACCCGTAAATTACATTTTGAGTAATAATAGGTAGGGTTACTGTCATTGGTGAACCTTTTTAATTAAGGAGTTTCAACCATATCATACTCGAAGCAGATGCTACTAAATCTCTATTTCGAGGTTTAGTCAAAGGATCCGCCAAATTCTCAATTGACCTTACATAATTTAGAAAAATTATTCCATCCTTGATTAATTTTCTTATATAGTTATGTCTAAAACTCATGTGTCTAGACTTTCCATTGTATACCTCATTATATGCTTTTGCTAATGTGGCTTGACTATCACACATGATAGGTATTGAAGAAATATTCTTTGATCCCAAAGGTATCTTGTAGAAGAGATCTTTTAGCCATTCAACCTCTTTCTCGATATCCGATAGAGTTACGAATTCTGATTCCATAGTCGAGTGTCTTATGCATATTTGTTTCTTTGATTTCTATGAAATAACACTTTCTCCTAGAGTGAACACCCAACCTGAGTTGGATTTACTTTAACTCGCGCTAGATATCCAACTAGCATCGGTAAATCCTTCTAATATTGTCGGAAACTTAGCATATTGAAGACCTAAGTTCTTGGTTTTCTTTAAGTATCCAAGAACTCTCCCAATAGCCTTCCAATGTTCATTACTTGGATTGCTAGTAAACCTACTAAGTTTGCTTATTGCATAGGCTATATCCGGTCTTGTGCATTGAACTGCATATATGAGACTTCCTATAGCACTAGCATATTCAAGTTAAGCAATCACCCTTCCATTATTTTTTACAAGTTTTGAGCTTGGATCAATCATGGTACTATATTTTTTATGTTCAAGTGTTTGAGCTTGTTTATCACATTCTCAATATAATGTGATTGACTTAGGTGATAACCCTCACTAGTTTTTGTCACTTTGATACTTAAAATAGTATCCACTTGACCAAGATCCTTCATTTTGAATATGGAAGATAGAAACCTCTTTGTTTATTCTATACCGTCCATTTGATTACTCATAATCAACATGTTATCAACATATAAGCATATAAATGTCACATAATCATCATACACTTTAGAATATAAATATCTATCTACGCTATTATGTTTAAATCCGAATGATGTTATAGCTAAGTCAAACTTCTCATGCCATTTCTTAGGAGCATGCTTCAAAAGATATAAAGATTTTACTAACTTGCACACATTCTGTTCATTTCCAGGTAGAACGAACCCTTCGGGTTGCTCCATATAGACCTCCTTATCGAGATCCCCATTTAAGAATGCCATTTTGACATCCATTTGATGAATATGTAAGTCATATATTGAAGTCAATGCCAATAATAGCCTAATTGATGTTATTCTAGCTACCGGTGCATAAGTTTCAAAATAGTCGATTCCTTCATTTTGTCGACATTCTTTAGCTACTAATCTACCCTTGAAAGTATTTAGAGAGCCATTAACATTATATTTCCTCCTAAATACCTATTTACATCCAATAGGTTTGGATCCCAATGGTAGATCAACAAGTTCCCAAGTTTTATTAGATATTATCGAATCCATTTCATCTTTAATTGCATCTTTCCAAAAAATGCTATCACGAGAAGTCATAACTTCTTTATAGGGTTTAGGGTCGGTTTTCACTTGTAGAATAAAAGGAATTGCTCTTACAACATTCAACTTATTTCCTTCTACTAAGTAAAAAGAGATAAGTTGAGAATCAATTTCATTCGGTCCCAATTACTTCTTAACTCGAGTTCTCTTGCTTCTTCGTGATTTACTAGACTCATCAATATCTTTAGAAGACATTTCATCACATGTTCCACTTGATTTAGGGATGTTTTCAATATTTTCCTTCAATTCATTATTAGATGATAACAAATCTTCAAAGAACTCTACATCACTTGATTCGATAATCATATTGGTCTCCAAGTTTAGCAATCTATAAGATTTTGCGAACCCAATTTGGTCCTATTAGAATTTATGTTTTTGCAATAAGCAAGATACCCCCACACTTTGAAATATCCAATGTTCGATTTTCTTCATTTCCACAATTCACAAGGAGAAACTTGTGTATGTTTAGAAGGAATCTTATTAAGTATTCTACGTGCACTTAATAAAGTTTCACCCCATAAATTAAACGGCAACTTAGCCTATATAAGCATGGTATTAATCATTTCTACTAAAATTCTATTCCTTCTTTCAGCTAAACCATTTTGTTCGGGTGTCCTAAGTGCAAAATATTGGTGAATTATGTTATATTGTTCACAATATAAATTAAATTCACTAGAAAGGTATTCACCACCTCTATCACTTCTTAAGGTCTTTATTTTATTATTTAAGTGATTTTCAACTTCATTCTTATAATTTAAACAAATCAAAGGCCTCACGCTTATATTTCATCAAATAAACATAGGTATATCTTGAGCAATCATCAATAAATGTTATGAAATATATATTTTCACCTCTTATTAGCATGCCATTCAATTCACATATATCTGAATGAATTAATTCTAATATGCTAGAAGTCCTCTTATCGCTTTGATAAGGCATTTTAACCATTTTTGCTTCTACACATATTTTACATTTAATGGCATTATTTCCATCATATGAAATCAAGTCATTATTTCTCATGCGTTTCATGGTACTTTTACCTATGTGGCCTAATCTAGCATGCCATAAAGAAAATAAGTCAATCGTGTAAGCAAAATCAACTTTATTTATTTCATTGTCAATAGTACAAAGTTTGACCATTCCTTCACATAAATAGCCCTTTCCAACAACTTTCCCGTTTAGTGATAATACAAGTTTACCGGACTCAAAGACACTTTTAATGCCCGATTTTCCCAAAAGATTTCCACTCACTAAGTTCCTATTCATAACTGGAACATGTAGTACATTTATGAGAGTAACATTTTTTCAGAAGTGAAGATAATTTCTATACTTTCTTTTCCAATTACTTTGGACCGCACCTCATTACTCATTTAGATCTCTTGGTCTCCATCCACTTCATTGTATGTTTTGAACAAAGATTTGTCATATGATATATGCACCGTGGCACAAGTATCATACCACTAGCTGGGAACCTTTCCCTTAATTACATTTATTTCGCTCACGGTGGCCATAATCATCGTCGTCTTGGATGAAATTCACTTTACCCTTGGAGTTGTTGTATTTTCGGTGTCTACAATCTTTTGCGTAGTGTCCAGATTTTCCACAAACAAAGAATCCACCTTTGGTCTTCTTCTTGAACTTATTAAAATTCCTCAAAGGCTTCATTTTGTTGGATTTTGTTGGCAGTTAAGATTTTTCTACAGCATGTACTTTGGAAATGCCTTCATAAGAATCGCTTTTATCACGCATTCTCGACTTTTCCTCAATCTGAAGATGTTTTTGTAGTTGTTTCAAAGAATAATCTTCGAAACTATGCATATCTTCTTCCGGTATCCTTTCCAAGTTTCAGGAAGTTTGGCAATTATAGTCCCCACTTGA